AATCACAGCTAAATATGTATGTGAGTTTATGTGATTGTCTTATTTTGCCCAAAGAAGTCTGCGAAGATGACTTCTTCGATATGCTAGAAAACTGTTGCCATAACTTTATTAACTGGCATCTCCGACTTAGAGGTGGGTTCGTATGAGAGATGCCGTTTTTAAATCGATTTAACCGAAGATCGATTAATTGAGCCCTTCCGATTCGATTTTTTGTCGATTCGATCCGTCAATTGTAAAAGTAAAAGTAATTCGAAGATAAGAATTTGATTTTTTCTCAATTGATGCATTTTGATTTACGGTTTACCTCAAATCTATAAACTTTTAAAGAAATTTGAATTGGAGGCTGGTAAAAAAAAAATAATGGCAAAGACAAAAGAAGTCAAGTACCTGCCTCAATTTCTCCTCCGACTAAAAGGCTTCTCAGGGAAGCCTCTTGGAAAATTATGGCTAATACTACAACAAAAACTCCAAAAATTGGAATTCAATACTTTATAGAAGTTTTCATAAAAATTTTACACTCCTAATTATCTTTTTTGTTTTATTCTTCTTTTTATTTATTTTATTTTATTTATCTTTTTTATTTTTTTTTATATTATGTATGTATTTTATTTTATTTTTTTTTATTTTATTTTATTTTATTTGATTTTATTTTATTTATTTTTATTTTATTTATTTTATTTTATTGAATTGTTTTCTTTTTGTTTATTTTTTTATTTTTCTTTTAGTTTTTTTTAATTTCTCAACAAATTTATAAAAATCAATTAAATTACTTTCTCTTTCCAGCTGGACTTGCAGCTGCAAGACGAGGCCGGTGGTGACATTTCAAGTTTCATAACGAACGGCGAATGGGATCTGCTAGGTATGGCAGCGGTGACTTGAAAATAAAAGAAAGGCATTTCATAAAAAGTTTTCTAGCAAATTTAAATACGCAAATTCTAAAAATATTTAACTAATAACATACTAACTAACTCACAGCTTATAAATCGAAAAATGGTTATAATTTATTCTTTTGCTTTAACATATTTTTTGCTCATAATATTTAAATAAATTGTGTATTAATAACAAGGCCTCACCAAAAAAAAAACAACAACAACAAAACAGCCAACAAAAGTTCACTAGCAATTACTTATAAACATTTATATACATATATATACATACATACATATATTCATTATATACATACATATGTATTTTAAACTAATATCTTACTGCTGCTATCTAATGCGCCCACTTTCTCTTTCTCTCTTTCCCTCTCTCCAAAACAAAAAAAAAAAACACAACTACTAATAATTAAAAACAATCCTCTCTTTCTCTTTGCATTCTCACCGTCGAACGTATTTCACGTCCATTCTCTTTGCAGGCGTGCCCGGTAAACGAAATGAAATCTACTATAATTGCTGCCCAGAACCTTATATTGACATAACGTTCGCCATTTTAATACGACGGAAAACTTTGTACTATTTTTTT